ATGGAGACATATTAGGAAGCAGTCTGTGTTTCATTCCTTAGCTGCAAATAAAAACCGAACATAGCGAGTAGGAGTGGGTCTCTTCTGCAGGGATTCCTACCCGCTATGTTTATGATGAACATGTATGGAATCGTTCAAGACACTATTTAACATTCCTGCCTCACAAAAACGCACAGGGTGTCCTGGAGAAAAGCTTACCTGTCCAAATAAAAGTAAAACATTGGCTGGTAATTTCTTCTTAAAACCATTTGACCCTGTAACAAATTAAAATTTGTGTGTTTTTGTGGCTCGAATTTTTCTACTCTTCCACGGCTTTATCTATACCAATAAAAATATTTTGCATTTTTATTTTAAAAAAATAGTTCTTTTTATTGAATAAATATTTACAATCAAAACTATGCAAAAAAGAAGGAGCAATTTTCCTAAGCCTAAATATTCCTAGTATAAGTCACAAGGACAACTGGTACTGTGTCTGTGTCTGCCTTTCGATTTATCCTTTAATCCCTGATGTCAATTCGAACTTTGACGCGCACGTACGTGAAATTTAGGCATGCGTAGACGCTGGTTTCAAGTTTTTTGGGCCGTACATTTGCATCATCGTAAAATTTCAACATCTAGCTTGTCTAGTTTTACCGCCTTTCCCCTCATACTGGTTTTTCTTCCCCCAAATTCTTCTAATTATTTCACACCCCTTTAAGCATCTGGTTGATAATGTATCATAATGAGAGATCACAGACGGGCAAAGTAGATCACTAGGACCAGTAACACTGCGATGCGGAATAATCAATGCAGTAATGCAAACAGGCTGAAAGATAGATCCTGCAGAGCAAGGTTTACCAAAGGCTCGAGCCCAAAGGTCATTTGCCTCATTGAGGGAAAACCAATCACTCTACGATTCGCCAATTCGTTCCATGACTAACTGCTAATGCTCCTGACGCATTGTTAGGAAAAAGTAACTTGCTTCTAAGCAATCCCCGCAAGAAATAGCCATCAAATGTTCCTCCCAAGATGTGACTGTTCCTAAAAAAAGTGACATCACTTAAAGAGACTTTTCTGAGTATGTCAGAACACAGAAGATCGTAAATAATTCAATCAATTAAACATTATTCAGAATACTTTTTAATTCGTAGCTTAGATTTCTACCATGCAGTCAGCAGTGTATCTAACTTTTACTACGTTTTTTTTTTTCTTCACAATACGTATGCAAAGTTAAATAAATAGCAACGCGCACCAGACTAGCCGGTGCGATTATGCGCTTTGTTCAATTCAGCCCATCGAACGATTGCCTATTAATGATTTTCACTGCTTTGTACTTTAATCTATACAAAAATAGTTCAAACATTGGAAAACGGTTAAAAATTTCACGCACCTGTGCATGAAAGCTGAATTCGAAACCTTGAAGGGCTAAATATCTTTCCGTGATTTCTGAGTTAATAATTTGCCCGTAAAAACTTTCACTAGCTTGTAGGCATTCAGGGGATAGCATATGCCTAAAGTGACCAAGCGCTGGCAAGGCTTTCGATGCTTTCTCATCCAGGAATTGCTTATCTGAGCAAACTGATAGCGGAAATATTAAGATATTCATGATAAATTGATCTGATAAATGGTAAACGACGAACATGTATACTTACCGAATTGACTTAAAAGCTGCGTAGCCGCATCGCAAATTCTTTCAAGCTCATCCAGTTTTTCTGGGGAGACAATCTGAGGGATGGATCTGTAAAAATAAAAGCTAACCGAGTGAAAACAGTGATGCGCCAAACATCCAATAAAGTGAGGAGTTTACAGCATACTCTCAGTTCAAAACCGCAACCAGTACCTGCCCAATTTTCAATTTTTTAACCCAAATTCTAATATTTCTCGAAAATACGAGAATGAGTGGGACCACAAGTTAGGCTAACTAAGGCAGGCAATCATATCCTCCAATTAATTAATGGCAATCAATTTTGCATATTTTTCAACTCTATTTTTGCTTGCTCCGAAACAGCCTGTCCTTTTTCCTCCAATACTTCATTTGTTGTTCTTTGTAACGGCTTCTTTTTTGCTGGTTCTTCAAAGATTTTTTCCGAGACAAGCTCTGCGAGAAAGGGACCAAGGAAATCGCCTTATTAAAAAAAGCGCGAGCTCTGCAAACATTATATAAATGCTCCAATTGCTTATACAGTGCAACAGAAATAGAATAAAAAGGAAGGGCCATAGAAACCCAGCCAAAATTGGTCGTTTCAAGCAAGGCTGACAGGGAGGCGGTGTTGTGAAGTGGTATTTTGCGGCCGTAGATAAGCCGAAAATACCTTGTAAAGTAAGGGACTGTGCAAACCAATGGAAATTCCGTACGGCTGAATTCCACATGTTTTAAGGCTGGAAGGATAGAATCGTAACAAGTCACGATTCGAAGGATCGTTCAAGAATGGTGGAGATAGAGCTCAATGCCTTTTGGGCTCGAACAATTGCAAAAATGCGATAATGTCAGCAAAAACGTGCTAAGTAACACGCACCTGACGTCATAAACTGCATGAAAGAGGATGAGGCAGTTGGCAAGAGTGTTTTCGAGCTTTTCACCGCTACACTTCTCGTACAGTTCCCACGACTGCTCAGCGTTCAAATCAATTTTTAACCTGCAAAACATATCTTACATGGCCCACAAGTTAACTGGATACAGCTCTCACATTAAACACAGCTAGGTCCACATATATACAAATTAACAATCAAAAAGCAGTCGCTCGGCAATCCACTGTATGTGAGGTATAAATGATCAGAGTGATTCCGCGTGAAGCTCAAAATGACCAGAGGGATTCTATTTTGCCAAAAACAATCAAAAAAGTCATAACTTCCTCAGTATTCACTTTTTTTATGAGACAAAAATACTCGCTTATCGCGACCCTAACTATTAGCTTATTAGACTAGTGTGTCCCCCGTTTGTAGGTGTGTGTGTGTGTGTGTGTGTGTGTGTGTGTATGTGTGCGTAAGACGTCGCGTCCTATATACATGTTTATCAATAAAGTGAGAATACATGTTAAACGTGGTAAGGTTATGGGGAACCGAAGTTCCCCAGAATAGGAGTATTAGCTAAATAGAAGTAGGTCGCTGTGGTGGATAGGTAGTGGCGATCTCGGCGATGGGGAGAAGCGCTTTTATACCCCAGGGGACAAAGATCGAAAGTTCAATGAGAGTAGGGTGGTCAAAGTTTGAACTGGGGACAGGGGTACTGCGTCATAGTAATACAGTTGATTTTTAACCTACTTATGATAAAAAACCATTAATCATTATCTGATATATTATACGACACGCTTTTTATGAGAAACTGAAGTATTCGCTGATAGCTCATGCTCACCAATAACAATTAACCGTTTAAAAGGATTCCCGATTTCCGCTGGCACGAGAGTGAATCGAACAGTAAGCTAAAGACAGCTTCACTTTTCCTAATACTGAATGAGCGAAAACCAATTTAAGTCACAAGACAAAAAAAAAACCAAAAAAGACTGTTCTGACTAAAAAGTAGATAAAATTTAGCTCGAACTACACTTGGCACCTGAGAAATTCAGTACTGTCTTAAAAGAAAGCTTTGATGAAGAGAAAAGATGGACTGACTTGACTTTTGAACCTGTTTTCCAAACTCCGACAAGCAAAACTCACTTTTTCTCATTTGCAAATGCGGAAATAGCACTGGCAGTATTGGCGGCGATTCGCTGTAAGATGTCTGCAACCAGTCTGAAAGTTTCCGAATTCCCAGAACCCCCAGAATCGTTCAGGATATCCTCCACCAACTGCTTGAAAGTGCATCGCGGTAAGCAGTATTTCAGCAGCTGATCCGCTGTTGAGTATAATTCGCTGGCATTTTTAAGCACCGATGAGAAGCGATTTAGCTGAAAAGAAGAAATGTGTGTGTTTCCTTGTAAGAGGATTTTTCGTTCTCTGAGGGCACCAGGTGCTAACATATTCTCAGTACAGTTCCTTCACTATATCAGATCCAACCGCACATCAACCTTTTTCGAGTCACTGCACTTCGGCAATCTTGTAACTCTGGTTTTTATGCGTTTTGTGCTGTGTAACAGCAGTACAATTGTTAA